GGCGGACGCGGTCAACCGCCCGACGCCTCCAGCGACACGCCGTCAAGCACCACCGCGCTCGACAGCAGGTCCACGCCGCCGCCAACGTACACCGCCGACCCGCCCGCCTGCAACGACCTCAGCACAGTGTTGCTCACACGCAGCTGCGTCCGCAGCAGCGACGTCGCGTGCAGCACAAGCGGCGACGCCACCGCGTCCGTCAGTCCGCTCAGCTGCGAGTAGCGCATCGGCCCCGCCGCCACAATAGTCGAGTCACGGACCGTCACGTTCGTGTGTGCCGGCAGGTTGTGCACAAACACAAGCGAGCAGTAGCCGCCGGACAGCCCGCTCACGCTCACCTCCAGGCTCCGGTCACTCGCCGGCTCGCCGCCGTAGCCCCGCACGTAGATCTGCGCACCGCCGTCGCACACGCAGTTCCTCAATTCGATGCGCAGCGCGCCGGGAAGCATCGCCGGCACGTCGAACAGAACAGCCACGCCGTTCGTGATGTACACGCCGTCCATCAGCACCGTGTCCACGGCGTGGCCAACCGTGATGGCTCTGTCCACCGTGCCGCCCCGCAGTCGCAACACCACCGCATGCACCGCGGGCATCCATGCCGCCGCCGCAACCAGCGCCAACACAACGTGCACAGCCACACGCACAGCCGCAATGGCCCTGCACCGCACACGGTGCCGGCTGCGCGGACACGCACCCACCGCACACCACATCCACCGACCCAGACACGTATCAGCAGGGCTGTCGTGGTGTGTCACACTCGCACCGTCGACCGTAGCACCTTTCTAATAAATCCCTTCCTATGGATGGAGAATCCAAAAGCACAAATCCGATAGATCGCTATACCACTACTACTTGTCCTAATACTGCCGCGAGCAATAACTAATACCTTGAAACGATAGTTGTGCTGATCAAGCCAAAGTATCTCTAACTGCGCGGTCAGAGGGGAAGAAGGAAGCAACCACAGTAACACAGTGGCACGCAGAAGCATCCAACCTCAGACATTCCCACCAAAGCACAACCAGCGACAAAAAGAAGCGCAGACGCAGTCAGCCCGGTGATGTCACCGCCCTCCCACCACCCGCGCAGTCTCACACAGCCGCGGTGCCAAGTTGCACGATCCTGTCAAAAAGACACATGACCATTGGTGCCGCTAGTGTAACAGATGGTTCTGCATTGCACAACAAACAGCAAAATCATAACTGCACGGCATACACAGGAAGAAAAAGAAAAAGCACAGCGGCGGTACTCAGACACGGGGAAAAAAGATCCACATCAACTGCACAGTCCGATTGGCTCGCAGCCGTACGGACGGTGGTCGCGCCGCCGCCGCACGGTGCGTGTGTGTGTCTGCCGTGGACTGAGAGGATGATGAGACGAAAAAGAGATGCGGTGCGGTCCTCATCCATCTCGGTTAACTGTGACACCAGTCACGCCATCCCGTCAGATTACCTGCAGCCAAGACCGTCACCGTCAGCAGCGGTCGGTGCCTTCTCTCTCCACCGGGCGCCGTCACGCGCCTCCTCCCTCACCAACACAACGGGGGAGCAGCAGCCACGCGCAACTGCCAGCACCGAGTACAAAAGAAGAATCCACCTGCACTGCAATGTGTGTGTCCTGCGCGTGTGGTTGTGTGTGCCCACTGTCACGCGAAAAGGAAAAAAGACAGAAAAAAGAAACAAAGTATCTGAAGAGACGCACAAACACAAATGCACAGCAGAGGCGCATGCCCAAAAAAAGAAGAATGGAAGGGCTGCTCAAACTCAGGATTGCACTGCAGCCCGACCAGCGGCAAACCACAGAAGATTTATTCAAAACAAAAGAAAACCTTCCCTAGCCACCCCTTCTTATATAAACCCCGTCATTAAGAAAAAAAAAACGTCCTCTGTTACTGTTCCACACAAATTTAAAAATCAAAGGAAAAAAGTAATAATAATAGTAATAAATTCGCCTGGCTGCCGTGTGGCCACACCGAACTGTCTGCATTTATTTTGCCCGCAAAACAAAATTTAAAAAATGTTTGCATGCCTTTCAACCGTCCGACCCTCCATGTGTCCGCACATCGTTTATATTTCATGCGGTCATCTGCGTGTTGCTGCTCCCCTCAACCCTTTTATTGGTGCGTGAGTGCGGCCCGCAGAGCGCAGTCACTCGTGTGTGGGGACTGAGAGAAGCACGCAGACATGACGGGAGTCGCCTCACTCCATCGGGAGAGTGAGCGCAGCGAAAGAAAAAATCATCAGGGGGAGAGAAATGCTGACGGCACTGCCAGCACGAAAAACAAAAACGCAAAGCAATATACCAAAAAAGCGGCAGGGTGTGGCTGTGTGTGTGTGTGGCGCTGCGGGTTTCTGCCAGCCCTGGCCGCAAGGAAACAAAACAGGAGGGGAAGAAATGTGTGCTCCGCCCCACAGGCCCTCGTCGCACGCCCACACGTCACGGCTCCCTCAGCGCGCCGTTTGTCGCCGCCCCTCCTCATGCGTGCAGCAGGCGAGGCGCACAGGGCCGTCGTCATGAGCGTGTCGGTGGGTGTGCGAGCGGAGCAGTTGGGCGGGAAACACACGGCGCCCCTCACAGGAAGAGTGCAGCAACAAACAATAAAAGCAAAAAAAAATCCATGGTGGCTGCCCCAAGGCAACAAGCAAGATAAGAAAACAATTCAAAAAATGAAAAGAAATTGTTCTCTGCGTAGCAAAACTTATTCCTAGCGGTGTGTGTGTGTGTGTTGGTGAAGGGGAGGGCGCAAGTGTCCCACGCGGCACCCAATCACTCCTCAAAGAGCCACAATGCCCCACAGCCCCGGCAGAAGAAGCTGCAAAAACACCCGAAATACACACACACATGCACGGTGCTGTCACGGCTCAGACCCATGGACAGCAACTCCGCAATTTCCCCGGTGAAGGTGTCGTTGTCCGAGTGTCGTGCCGCGCCTTTTGTTGAGGGGATCCCTTCGCCTCCAGGCGTGGCGTTTGTATTCTCCGGTTTGGTGTCGACCGTCTGTGGCACCTCCTTGCCGTCTTCAAAAGAAACTTCGGTTCCCTCAGTCCGAGAGACGTCGTCGGTGTTCTCCGCGGATGTCGGTTCGGCGTCAATCCCTGAAGGAGTGAGGCTGCTGTCTGAGCCCATTGTTCTCTCGGAATTTCTGTCCCCCGCCTCGAGGCCGAGGCTTTGCTCCGCGCCAGTGGTTCCGGTTCCAGTGGACCGCAGGCCTTCATTTTCAATGGAAAGCTCAGTGCTTTGTTGTAATTGGCGCTCACTGTCAACTGTTTCGGTGGCCGTATCCATATCCGATGATGCACCCACTGAAGACGTTGATCCGCCACTCCTGCCATCCGCTTCTCCCTCCTCCTCTGGCATTTCTTCAGCATAACTTCCAGAGGACATTTCAACATCGGTAACCTCCGTTAATTCCGCTGGCTCTGGGTCTTGTGGCTGCAGGTCTGAGCCCCGTTGCATCGATTTATTCTCTTCATTCGGCGTGGCTTGCTGGGCCGTTTCGCCCTGGTGAAACTGGGCATTGTCATATGGACGGTCATTCCCTGCGCTCTCCGCTGCGATGGCAGGCTCAGAAACAGATGATCCCGCGTCAACCGTGGAAGGGGGCGCTGCAGGCACCGGATCATCGACGCCGTTTCTTCCTCTTGTTTGTCAGGATCATCCTCATTCAATTCCGCACAGCTGGCGTTGATTTCTTCACTCTTTGACTAGGAAACAACCGAAACTTCCGTGCTGGTCACCTGTCCTGTGGGATGTTCCTCGACACCCAGTGATGGAATAGTGACTTTGCTGGCATTGAGTTTATACAGCTCATTATTATAAAGATCGTCGTTGTACAGCATGACGTTGCTCACCGTCACATGACCGCCCGTTGCACTTCGGTCCTTGCCGTCCCCACCGATGTAGAAGTGTGAGATCCTGTGCGAGTCGAACAGATCCTCATTATAGCTCTTGCGGTCGATTTCCCTCTGATCCAAAAAGGCAGTCCATTCATCATAATCCATTTGCAGTACCACCCGATACGTTGTGTGTGGCTCCCACCCAAAAAGATCCTCCACGCCACCAGCATACCCCGCTATGGCCAGCCACTTCCTGTCATGGGTGTACGACAGACCAAAGAGGACCGTGCCTTTGGTGTCATTCATCCTCACGCCAATCAAAGGAATAGGATTATCTTCCCTCGGCACCTCGTGGATGGACACCGTCGCCACAAGAGTGAACTTGTTGTTTGCAAAGTAGTGCGGCACAGTCTGCCCCAATTTACCAACAGGCCACTCCGCCCCTGCTCTGGGCCCTTGGAACGTCACTCCATTGGGAACCCCTATCCCTTTTTCCGCTGGGCCATGGACAATGGCGTTCACGCCGAGTTACTCGTCTCGCCACTCGGTCACAGTTGAGTTACCAGACAAGAAGCCAACAAGCCCGTCAGTGGGAACAGGACCATTGCACATGCCCCTTTCTGAGCGCGTCAACATTGCCGTTGGAACTGGAACCGCAGTATTGCAAGGCGCTGTCCAAATCCTTCCATGTCTTCACCACTTCCTTTACCCGCTCCAGTTTCTCGGTCAGACGCACAGCAACAAG